AACAAGTGACACCGAGCCAGCTGCCACCTCCTCTCTGGGTACCGTGGGCCGTGCAGGTGCAGACCGCTGAGCTGTGAGGAGCAGGCTATCAGAGCTCATGCTGGGAGGAGCTCGCTGGCTAGTCTGCTGCCAGGAGAGCTCACAGGATCCAGCAAGGGCATCAGCTCCCAACCTAATAGGCCTTGCTTCCTGGGTGGGCTGTGGTCCCTCGAGTCAGCGGACACTAGGTTCAGGTGGGGAGGCAGACAGACTCTCTCTGCTACAGGCCCCTGTCCATATTGGGCTTCCCTCAGGCAGCAGCAGCAGCGTCCCCCGAAAACCTGGGCCTGGCTGTGAGCTTTGGGGCTTCACGGGACTCCTGGGATCCCCCTCTCACCACCAAGCTCGGGAGGAGCTGAAGCATTTGTGGAGTCTGGGAGGAAACAGGAGTCAGGGGAGGGCCGCCTTTAATAGCTCGTTTAGTGTCCGTTAACACAACCAGTTGTTCAGGTGTGGGCCCTCAGCATGGCCCCTGTGGATCAGCATAATAGGCAGACCCTAAGCCACCACCCTCTCTCAGGGCCCTGGTGGGGTTGGAAGTGACTGGCACCTACTATGGATGCCACATGGAAAGCTGGTGACTCCTTAGGAATGAGGTTCGAGGCAGCTGAGGCTCTGGAGCAAAGTGAGGTGGCTGGCGGGGGGCGTGGGCCTGGGAGGGTCCAGATGAGGGCGCCAGGGGACCGCCCAGGGCCCAGCCACCTCACACAGCCGGTGTTCAGGCTGCTGTCCCCAGGTGTGCAGGTGTGATGTGGGTGTTCCTCGGCACTGGCTGGCGACGGCACGGCCAGCACGCTGGGGCTCAGGTAGCTTTCTTCCCGTCTTCCTGGGACTCCTCCTTCAGGTTCTCTGCCACCAGCTTCATCTGCTGTTGGGAGAGCACAGGACAGCCGATGACTCACCAAGTCTAAGGGGCCCCGCTCTGCAGATTCTCAAGTCAGAGGATCGGAACTGCAGGCAGGAGATGCCCGGCTACTGCCCAGCTTACTTCCTGAGCTCCTCACCTGCCCTGGAGAATGACAGGGATAGGTGGAGCTGCTGTGATGCTGGGGGCCTGAGAAAATCTGGCTTTTCCCTGGATAGAGTGGGAGGGCTGGGCCCCAGAAAAGACAGGACACCAGAGTAAGGCAAGTGTCTGCTCTGTCCCCGTGGGTTTAGAGACTGAAGTTTGGCCTCATGAGCACAGGCACCCCATCTGTGCAGAGAGCACTGTGCCCATGGTACAGGAAGATCCTACCACCTTTCTCAGTTTCTGCCCCACAGCCTCCCCGGGGAAACACCTCTTTCTGCGGCACTGAAGAGCGTGGCCATCTCTGGTCTACTAATCAGTGAACACACATGGGAATGTGGCTTAAAGCAGAGGCTGCTGGTAGCAGGCATTTTAAATACCTATGAAAGCCAAAACTCTTTAAGGATGAACAGCGCTGGCCTGCATGCACCAGGCTGGCCCCTGGACCTGCACACTGCACAGGCAGAAGGGCCTCCCAAGGGTCCCTGCTTCGACAACCTGTGCAGTGCATGCTTCCCTGAGGTCTGCTGCTCCTCAGAGCCTGGTCATCATCTTCTGTGTGACAGAGATGGCTCTGGGGTCTCCCTAGCCCTGTTCTACATGCACACAGGGACAGAGTAGCTTTTGATAGGGGAAAGGCAGGCAGAGTTGGGTGACTAGTGGCCAGGGCAGGGCATATGTATTGTGCAAGGCTGGGGACTGGGTAGACACAGGGCTGGCTCAGGGCCTAATCCCTGCCCAGTTGTGTCCCCAGCAGAATGATAGTTGGTTTGAATTAATCCACAAGCCCGCAGACACAAACAGCAACATTCTGTGCACTTTCCCCAAGGTGAGACCCTGGTTTATCACCTTTTCTGTCAGTATCCAGCTACTCACAGTCCTCCACACCTGTTGGTACCGATGTGAAACTGCCCCAGTCACAGAGATCAACACTACAGCCTGGGCTCACCATGGAGACTGACACTACAACCCAGGTTACCATGGAGACCGACACTACAGCCTGGGTTACCATGGAGACTGACACTACAGCCTGAGTTATCATGGAGACGGACACTACAGCCCAGGTTACTATGGAGACTGACACTACAGCCTGGGTTATCATGGAGACTGACACTACAGCCCAGGTTACTATGGAGACCGACACTACAGCCCAGGTTCACCACAGCCCTGCCACCTGGCGTCCCTGAACACCATGGACATTTAAACTGTCTTTATGAACCTGGCGTCTTATGACAGAGAATGAACGGATGGGTGGAAAACATCTACTTCCTGGTTGACAAGTGACCCCAGGAAACGGAAAACTGTTAATTTAGAGCAGTGTTGGATCTGAGCAGACACTGGCATTTCAGGCAGGGAGAGAACTGGGTGGCCTGAGGCCCCTGTGGGGTACAAGCTAGTCCTTTTGTATCTGTGGCTACACGGGGAGCCTCATGGTGCAGATGATGGACACACAGCCACAGGACACGAGGAGCCCTCAGCTCACGTGCTAGGAGCCCCTGCTGGGATTCAGCCCAAGGCAAATGGGACTTCTTCCCTGAACGACACACCCTAAGTGACCATTGTCGCCATTTGACCTCGTAATTGCTGTACCCATGAGGGTATCCCCCAACGACCACAGCCCCTCTCCTACAGCCTGCCTGGCTGAGGACTGTCCTAAGGAACCATCGGTGTCTGAGTTCTGCGTCTGTTGCTCTGCTGCGGCAGGGTATGAGGTGGTCAGGTTTCCCTAGAGCAGGGCCATGAGCAATGGCTCCTAGTAGCTCAATCAGCTGAGTTAATGTCACCCCTGAGCCCCCCTCTGTGGCAGCCCTTCAGGATTAGGTCACCCTCACTGGAAATTCCTGATCGAGTTGGGTCCTAGCTGAAGGACATTTCAAGGTTACACTTCAGCTCTTCAGTTTCTCTGTAGCAACTCTGGCCTAGGGTATGTGGGGAGGAAGGGAGAAGTCACCCCTTTAGACATCAACTGGACTCTTTGGAGACCCTGAAATTAAAACCTTTGTAAACAGCAGGGAGCTTAAAATAATAGAATTAACCTTTCCCTATAAAATAGCAACATTTTCTGAATGGATTTTTTTTAAACTTGTGATTCATTCAAACACTCATGCTCCCAAGCTTAGCCTGGGGGAGGTGTGCATCTGGGTCCCCTTCTCCCCGTGAGGAACTACAGAAAGATCTGAGACTGTCCACACTTTCCCAGACCCGGGACGGCTATGGTGGACCCTGCAGATCCCAGACAGCCCCTCTGGCCTCCATACTCATAAGACAGTCTCCCTGGCTCAGTCCACACTAAAATGTCGGGAGACCCCCCCCATGAGAAGCACTTGCCCAGCTTAAGATCTCTCAGCACCCTAACACCTGGCTCCCAACACTTAAATTCTGAAGGAATCTGAGCAACCCTAGGATGGCAGGTCAAAGCTCAGTGTTGTTTAGGGGAGAGGAGCACACTGATGGCCTCCGGGGCTCCATTCCCTTGGAGGACAGAGCCCTGTGGCTACATGGAGCTGGGCATCTGGTCTCCAGGGATGTGGGTAAACAGTAGACACTGAAGGGGTCCTTGAGGTACTTTGCTCTGTCTCCCTCGGGACTTCCAGGAGCAGGGCGCTGGCCTGGGACAGTGACCCCCGTTCACACTCTCTCAGTGCTCACTTCAGTCCTGATTTAAATGATCTGGGGGGGGGTGTCTGGGCTTCTGACTATTTCCCAAAGACTCCCATGAGTCCTTCTCAAACAGTGAACACAATGGCAGCCACTTTAGCATCTAGATGAGACATCACACACCTACCTTTGCCCATCTGAGAGAAACAGGAGTGTTGGGATACTCCTTTTGCACAGAGAACACAGGTGATGCCAGGATCACCAAATTTTGACATGACTTTTAAAAGGTATTATAAATTCAGATGGACTACACAGCATGACCCTGCCTCAAAAACAAAACAACCAAAAAACCAAACCAAACCAACTAAAGCAACAGAAACACATACATAAAAAATCCAACCAGTATTCCTAAAGTCACCCTGCAGAAGAGCCAGGAAGACAGTGAGCCCCTAAATAAGGTTCTCCCAGCGAACTGGCTGGGACAAGCAGGATCCCCTGAGGACTGGTCTCCACAGCTAGGTCTTAGGACACAGATCAGGCGTCCCTCATGACTCTCATGACCATCATGACCCTGTCCTGGGGTTCAAGCCTTTGTGGACCCTCCTGCCCCGCAGTGTGAGTGAGACCAAGCCACTCATGTTTAACCAAAAGAAAGTGAGAGATGACAGTTGGTGGACTCTGAGACACCGGGCTATGTTCTGAGTCCCCTGCCACGTTCCTGCTCGTCCCTTTCTTCCCAGTCAAGCACAGGGATATTTCTGTCCACTTGGTCTGCTTTCTTCTCTCTAGTTCCCAAAACCTCTTCAGATCAGCCCCTGGCCTTATTAATTCAATTAAATGGTTCCCTGTAACGTAACTCACCCAACCATGGCCATACTAGTACAAACAAGGGTCTCTCCTGACTTTTTATGTCACAGTAGCACTTGGCATTCCTCCACTCTCCCCCTTTGAGATTTACTTTGCAGTCCGGGCTAGCCTCAAACTCGAGATGCCCCTGCCTTCACCTCCTGATGCCGGGGTCACAGGTGTGTGCCAGCAAACCTGTCCATCTCCTGTAATTCTTTCTGCCCTGGGCTGTGTGGCATGTCCTGTAGGCTCACACTCCTCCAGCAGGCCCTCAGAAGATGGCATCTCTCAAAAGCCTATTCTAGTCTTCTCGTCTCCATCCAAACTCTCTGATGATGGTAAACACCTACAACTTGTATAATACAGCTGAGAGCCTGGATATCTAGTATGACTCCATCTGAGCTAGTTTCCATGTCAACAGCTATAGACAGGGCTTCTGACAGTAGTAGCTCTAGATGCTGAGACCACCTATGCCCATGGCCTTGGCCAGCACTGGCTATCTATAACCTAGACTTCTGGGATTGACAGCAGCCTACTGAGCTAGGCTGGCCACCCTGTGTTCCCTGCAGCTACTGTGGAGGGATCTGACGGCCCCCTTTTATACCCTGGGGAGCCAACCAAGCCTGCCCCGCCTACACTGTGGTGCTTCCTAGAGAGCTGCTGACCGTGAAGGAAACCCAACAGTAGAGCCCTGCTGGATCTGACGACAAAGTCCCTTCCATCAACAGCAGAGTCGGGAGGGACTTGAAGCCTTCTCCCACCAGCTCTCCTGAAGCATGCATCCTCACACGATTCCAGCTGAAGAGGAATACTCTCCCAAAGTAGGACCACAGCCAGAGCCATCAGAGAAGCCTCCAGTCAACACAAGAACGGTATTCATTATTTTTCCCTGTGTCCCATGAGCATCTGGCTAGTGGACCCAGATCTGGTGAGAGCAGCTCCCACTGACTGTACTCAGCTCTCTCAAGACCGCTGACCCCTCCTCTTCTAACTCCATGGTGTGGGCGCCAATATTGCTCCTCTGCTTTATAGGGACAGAGCTCGGCGTCTGTCTTGGAGCAGACCCACCCTCCTGAATGCCTCAGGTCTGGAACTCACCCACCATTCAGGATCTGGTCTTGCCAGGGACCTCCCTGTGGGCCCTGACACATGGCAGGGTGTGGAGTTCACCCAGACCCTGAATCAGAATCTCCATTTAAACAAGATTCCCAGAGCTGGAACATTCTCTGCTGTCTTTAGACCGACCATGCAAAGGGCACTAAGTAGCTCCTACTTACACCCTGCTCTATGAGGACACCAATGTCCCCAAGTCCCTCAGTGTGGATCTGGAGTCCAGCAATGAAGAGTGCGGCTGAGTGCCTGAGCTCAGCTCAGGAGGAACCAGGAAGCCTGGAGAAGAGCCTGGGGTGATGACCTAAGAAGAGTTCAAGGCCAGCCTGGTCTAGAGTGAGTTCCAGGACAGCCAAGGCTGCACAGACAAAGTCTGACCAGAAAAAAAAAAATGGGCAGGAGGGAAGGAAGGAGGGAGGGAGGGAGAGAGAGTAGAAAAGAAAACAGAGACAGGCAAAAAGTGTGTCGAGAGCTGGGAGAGGGTTTCTAAGCAGTGACCTGTGTGGAAGTGGGAATGGAGCTAAGATGGGAGAGGGGACCAGGCTGGCTGCCAGGCCGCCCCTGTGTTTGCTGCAGGCTCACGTCTGACTCCAGTGACCCTGAGTCAAGAACCTGCTGCCCACAGCCCGCCTCACTGTCACAGCCCGCCTCACTGTCACAGCCCGTCTCATTGTCTCTCACTGTCACAGCCCGCCTCACTGTCACAGCCCGTCTCATTGTCTCTCACTGTCACAGCCCGCCTCACTGTCACAGCCCGCCTCACTGTCTCTCCCTGTCTCTCCCTGTCTCTCACTCTCACTGTCTCTCGCTGTCTCTCACTGTCTCTCACTGTCTCTCACTGTCTCTCACTCTCACTGTCTCTCGCTGTCTCACACTGTCTCTCACTGCCCACAGCCTGCTTCCTGAAGACCCTCTCTTCCTTCCTGTCTGTCTCCTGTCTCCCTGTCATCTCTCCTCTCTCTCTCTGTCTTTAACTTTTGTGTCTGAAGAAGAAACTAAGATGAAATGGCGCTCTTGCTTCCTCCTGACTGAGGAGCCGCTCTGTTGTGGCTCTGGAGTCTGCCAGCTCCTCCTGCACTCTGCACACACCAGCACCCCCTCTTCAGGCCCAGGCTTCTCCCCCTGGGTGAGCTATCGTGGAGCCTGGGAGGAAGTCTCCCTGTCCTTGGCCCTGTGCGCTGGCATTCCCAAGTTTCGTGTTTCCCGCTCTTCCTGTTGGGTGTGCCCCGCTGTGTGCACTCTCTCCTGATACCCACAGCTTCTTGTGCCTCTCAGAAGAAGAGTGCCTCTCCCGCTGCTTGCCCCCTGGCACATTGTCAGTATCTTCCCAGCTCCCCAGTCACTGGCTCCTGGATGATGGTGTTTAAGTGTGGGCTCCCTCTCCTCTCTGTCTCTGGACATGGGCATGAGTATGTGGTGTCCGGAGCGCCAAGCATGGCTGGAGGTGAAAACAGAAAGGGCCTGCCTAGGCCTTAAATGGCACTGCTCAAGTTCACTTCATGATTTTGACTCTGTATAGACACCACCCAGAGCTATTCTAGGCTAAGTCCTGAAACCTCTCAATCTTCTGGAGATTACTGGGTGCCCTCCCCACTGAGCCTGTGGCACAACTCCATGGAGTGGGAAGGTCTGTCTGGGCCTTGTGCTGTCCCTGCCCACATTAGAACCTGAAAGCCCTCAGCCACACTGCCGGTTTTAACAGGCGTATCCTGGGGACTCTGAGGTACTTTGTGCTCTCTGGTTTTAAGCCTGGCTTAGAACACTGAATTGTGGTCTTTGCCATCCATGCCCCTGCAGACTGTCTTACCTGCACTGCTAAGTACTTCGGGCTCTCGTGAGTGAGCTGCCCTGGGCCCTGTGCACCTTCCCTGGCCCTTCCCAGGCTCCCCAGGCTGGAGCTCCTTCCACATCTGTGTTTCCACCGCAAGGACATGAAGCCTGACTCAGCACCTCCCCACTCCCACTCAGCCTCACCAGCACACTAGGAAGACCCCAGGGGCTGGAGCCAGGCAAACTTTTTACCACACTTCATTTGCACGAGACGGGAGACTGGCCCGTGGTTAGGTGGACTGCAGACTAGCTGTCCACTCGGAAAATCCTCGCCCAGGAGCCAGCTGCTTCCCGCTGGACCTTTCGTGGGAGCCTTTTGTCCCTGTCCCCAGACAGGGGTGGCCCTTTCCAGGGTCCCTCCAGCAGGGCTCTGGCCCTCTCTTTTTGCTCAGCATTTCCATTACAGAGCCAGCTGCTTCCCTCACGGTATCAGGCGTTTTCTCTTTCCCTGTGTAGAATTCTCCCATGGCCTCTCAACTCTCAGCCTCTTCTGGATGTTTGTTTTCCTGGCTTCCTCTCTGAACTTATTTCATCTTGCAAAGGAATATATAATCATCTCCAAACAGAGGCTGTGCACCCGGTTCTACCAAGACTGGCTTGAACTTAAGGGGAACAATAGACAATCAACCCTGCATTTCCCACCTTGATAGTTTCCTGCTTTAAGAGTGTTCTTCCCAGCTTTCCCACCGACTGCATGCATGCATGCACGCATGCACGCATGCATGCACGCACGCACGCAAGCTAAAATGCTCCTTCCCCATGAACAAACATGGACCTATCTAAGAGCAGGCCAAGCCTTTCTCTTTCTCTCAAGAGGCCTCAAGATGCTTCCCACACCGCAAACCCTGGAGGGTGGGTCACAGGACAGATGTTCAGGGAGGGACGTTCCTAGGAGCTCCCTTGCTACCCACAGTTTCCGGCTTTGTAGATTTCGGGAAACTGAAATCTGCAGGGAGTCCTGACCGGGCTTCCATTCCCATCAGTGTGTGGAAGGCAGCGTGGGACAGCAGAGGGCACAGAGTGCCAGGGCAGGACACTGGGCTCCAGGGGCTGGGGGTGACCCGGGCAGATTCCCGCAGATTCTTCTGTCTCCCTCCACGTCTCCCTTCCTTCTCCAGTGGGATCTTACTGTGTAACCCAGACTGGCTTCAAACCCTTGCTCTTCCTGTCTCTACCTGTCCAGTGCCAGGATCCCTTCCTTTGCTTGTGGCTTATCAGCACGCAGAGAAGATTGGAAGTCTCCTCGTGTCTGACACCTGTACCTTACTTTAGGAATTCTATGAATCTCTGCTGCTACAAGGTCTCCAAGATTTGGCCCAGGACTTGCACTCAGGTCATGACCTTCTTGGGGACCAAGTGTGGGTCTGTACTGATTTCCTGCCTGTTGACATACAGCCCTCCAGAGACATCTGCTGCAGCCATCACCCTGCTCACCTGCAAAGCTTTGTGCAAGGCCAAGTGCAGCACTGGGCACGGGTGGGTGGCTTCCTGCTCCATCCCCCTCCCCTCCTGTGCTCTTCACTGGGGCTCTGCCACACACCCTGAAAACATTAGCATCAGTCTCCAGTTTGGCGATTCTCAGGCCCTTTATGTTTCCATGTCAATTTTAGAATCAGGCTTATCAGCTCCTACAAAAGCACAGATCAGGGGCTGCCACATCCTTATGATAAGACAGTCAGCTAGTGTCTGTCACAGCGCACCCTGCTGTTGTGTGAAGGCGCAGAAGCATGACCTGTGATGAATGGGTGGTTGTATTCCAGGCTCCTGGTGGTCCCCTGTAGGCTTAGTTCCACACACGTGGTTTCCATGAACAAGGTCAACCGTCTGTGAACAAGGACCCGCACTTCTTTGTGGAGATGCCTTGTGTGTCTTCTCCTCTCCGTTTCTTAGCTTCTCTGCCAGAGTCTTTGGCACAATACTGAGTTTCCTCTTGTTGGTTCTCACAGCAAGGGTACAGCAAGGGTACAGATTCACCACCGATGTCCTTCTCCATGTTGAGAAAGTTCCAGTTGCTGGGCACCCCACAGTCCAGTGATGTCATTCCTCATTTCTAAAATTCTGTCCTGTCTCTTGGCTTTGTTTTATGTTTATTGATGTGTCCTTAAATTTACTAATTTTTCCTAGTCTAACATCTCACCTGCTGTTAATCCTACTTACTGTGTTTTCTGATCTTTAGAAACCAGACGCACATGTTTAATCATTCAGGTCTTTGTGTAACTGTTAAAACACACAGAATATAGCTTTAATGACCCCACTAACATCTTTGCTGACTGATTCTGTCAGGTGCTTCAGCTTTGGGGGAGTTCAAACTGATGACCGGCTCTCCTCACAACTGTGTACGTGTGTGTCTATATTCAGTTAAGTTTTTGTATTGCTCTGGGATCGGGTTATAAGGTCTTTGTGATTTGTCAGGTGGGTCCACCGGAGGGCTCAGTTAGGAGTTATCCCCTACTAATGGAGCAGGCTTTCCTAAGTGTCCTCCCAGCTCCCCTGTGAAGTCTGAGTTTTCTGTCTGCACACCAGGCTTCGTCCCCTCTACTCCTGAAGGTTTTTCCCTCTCTCCAGGGTTGGTTTGCTGACATGCCCTGCTGGTCACACAAGAGTCTTGGTTGTATACACTCCACTCCTCCCTGGTTCTGTCTGTCCTGGGATCCTCAGCAGCTTTGGCCTCCCTGACTCCTCAAGGTGGCAAACTTGGGTTCCGACAGACCAAGGGGGCCCGCTTGTTTCTGGATCACTGGGCAGGTGTTAAGTTTTATTTTTAAAGTTAATGACAAGATATTTAAATTATTTAAGTACTCCTGATACTCATTCTCCTGTAAATAATTATTTAATGAGTAACCGCTGGCCTCTCTCTTCCTTGTTGCCCTAGTTGCCTTCAACAAATGGACTGTCAGTCAAAACCAGACATCTTGAACATCACACAACTGAATACAGTAGCTACTGATGCACAGTCTCAGCCAGGGCTGCCTCAGTTTGTCCTACACATATTCAGGGTCACACTCTTCAGTGACATCTGGGGACAAAGTGGTAGCACTTCCCCCTGGTGGCCTGGAGAGGCACTGCTGTGAAGGGTGCTGAAGGGCAAACACAGGCTCATCTGTGAAGATGTGTGCCATGATTGGTGCAAACACAGTCGGTGCACTCGATGTGAGCTCTTGGCGCTGCAGCTCTGTAAGTGCTCTGCAGAAGGCTGTCTCCCCTCCCTCAGCTCAGGCTCACTACTCTTCAGCTCTGGCTCTTGTCAGCCCTATGCTTCTTTCCATCTCACAGAAACTTCGTGATGTTTAGGTGGTTAGCTGACAGTACTCTGGTTTTCAACATTCTTAATGGATTTGTGTTTTCATATATTAAAACAGAATGGTTTATGGAGGAGGGTCCTCATCTCCCTCCTCCAGGAACAGCTGAGGACTGAGTTTTTGGAAAGAACCCAGCAGCTGTGTGAGAAGACTTATACTCCAGGTTTCTTCTAACCGAGGAACCCTGGCCCCGCAGAAGAGAGGATGGTGTACTATCAGGCCGGACAACGGCAGAGATGGAGCCACGGTCAGGGCTGCAGAAGATGCTGAAAGAGCCCAGTCACGGTCCGTCTTGCCCTGAGGCGCCACTCTCCTTGGCCACCTTTCATGGTGGCTCAGCCTGCCTGCCTGCCTCTTGGAAGGAAGGTGACCCTGGGTATATCTCTCTAGTGTCAAGCCTGTGGCTACAGAACACATTTAAGTCAGACCCCGACGGTCTTGTCCTCTCAAGTGTCGGTTCTCTTTCATGGCTCCTCCCCATCTTCTTCTCTTGGTTTTGGTTTCTGAAGCAAGGTCTTAGTCTAAAGCCCAGGCTGGCCTCATGCTTGTGATCCCCCTGCCTGGGGTTTCTGCGCGTTGGAAGCCTGCATTGCCATCCCCAGTCCTACACTCTCACGCAGCAAGCACATCAAATACTGGAGCAAACGTTATCTCCAAGTTCCTCATGGGTCTAAGTAAAGGAAGGCTCAAAAATGGTTAAGATTTGTACTATAGATTTTATCTGCAAACTGAGCTAATACGTTCTAACCCTGAACAAACCCCAACTCCCATGTGTTGCTTGGCTCTTCTGGCAAGCTGTGTCTAGGTTTTCAGGATTCCAGTGCTCTCTTTTCAAGAAATGTTGCCACTTGGTGAACTCTAAACAGGGAGGCACAAGCTCTCATGGGATGTGGTGGTGTTGCGGGGGGGGGCATCCTAGGGAAAAGAGACTGGCATTTTCACTTAGGAGGATCTGTGTGTGGGAGGTGCCGCAGAGAGGTGATGTGATGGTGGCCACCTCCACCCAGGAAGTCCACAAGGGCTGAATGTTGGTGACCCACCACTCAAGTTGGAGCCTAGACACCACTGTGGTACACAGAAAGGTGGGGCTTTGGGAAGGGGCTGAGCCATCAGCAATTAGAACTTCATTAAAGGGATTAGTATTCTCAAAACAAAGACTTGATGAGCTGGGAGCACTGCTAAGTGCCAGTGGCAGAGGGCTTCCCAAGCACATGTGAGGGCTGAAGCCCCACTGCCTTCCCAGGAACTCACCGTGGTGACTTGATGGGCTCCCAGCTTTCCTTCAGTTCACAAGAAACTGGCAAATTATTCTTTAGCACATTTTAATCTCTAGGCTTTTGTTCAGAGCTAGAATTTTAGTCTAAAATATATGGTTCTCACTGCCTAATTACTGACAAACTCATATGACACTGCTCGATTTTCAATAGCCACTTTGCCAAAGGTAATTGCCTACTTCTTTGGAACTGGAGAAAAAACAATTTTCTTTTACTTACTTCAAGTAACATAGTAGTTAAGGTGAAATATCTAATTGAAGGTGTGATGTGAGAAAGAAGAAAGACACAGTGAAACCATAACCCAGAGCTGGCTCCACTGTCAGCCCCACAACCCAGAGCTGGCTCCACTGTCAGCTCCAGCCTCCCCAGCCCAGCCATACCCTCAGCAGCCTAAGGACACAGGGTCCCCTTGGGGACCACGAAACAGAGCCCCCTAACTGCAGACAGAGAGAGTCTAAGGAAGAACCAGAGTGAAGCAAAGCCATGGGGTTTACCAGGAGCAAGGGATGGTGGGAGAGGGAGGGAGGGAGGAAGGGGGAGGGGAGGGTAGAGGGAGGGAGGGAGGGGGAGGGAGGCTTTAAGGGAAACTGTACTGTTTGAGCTCAGGGATGAGAGGGGTGGTGACACTAATCAAGGCTGCAAACACTCTGGCCCTAAGTGAGCACTTGGTGTTTTTCATGTCCCTGGCCGGTGTTTCTTGAAGAAGAAGTGCATCGACTCCGCAGTCAATTGTCATTTCCTCAGCTTTGTTAAAGATCCAGGCTCTGGCTGAATTCTGGAATGAGGGGCTTTTCCTTCCTATGCATCCCTAGTTCCCTCCACTGGTTCCCTGCTTTCCTTCATCCCCCCCTCTCAATTTTTTAGACAGGTACTCACTCTTTGGCCTGGATGACATGGAACTCACTATGTAGTTCAAGCTAGCCTGGAACTTGCAGCCATCCTCCTGCCTCTGCCTCTGCCTCTGCCTCTGAAACACCCTACGTCCTGTCTTTGGGCTCTGCCTCACCATCAGGATAAAAGCAGGCTAACCCACATGCTTCTGTGAAGAACACAGGCACACTGAGGGTTACAGAAGTGCAGCTCTTGGGCCCCAGCACAAATCCCATCTTCCTGGAAACTGCTCCATGCCACCTTCCCAGAGCTCCTGTGCAGCCTGGGGTGGCCTGGGGCTCTGCTCCCCGCTGAGCCCTGAGGACTGCTGTGGTCTGTGCTGACTCAGCGCACAGTCACCACACATCAAAAGCCAGCACAGTAGGTACTTTCCCGCCCCATATTCAACATACCTGCAAACCCTGGAGCCAGTCAGAACTGACTGTGGACACATTTTTTGGAGACTGTTTAAAAGGTTGGGGGCCTCAGCTTCACTGATGCTGCTCACAAGTCAACAGCACAGGAGAACTGTGTCCTGTGCACAGCTTGTGGCTGATAAGGGTCAGCTATGCATGACATGAGTGGGCTTACACAATCTGGAAACCTCTTCTTATCCTTCCCTACTGGCCTAGAAATTCAAGATGCTAATTCCATCACAACACTCCAAATTCCTTCCCCACCTTTGGGAACATGGTACCTATAAGTCCTGATGTGGAATGACCTTCTGTATGCTGTGAATGTTTTATTATCATTGATTAATAAAGAAGCTGGTTTGGCCAATAGCCAGGCCGAATAGAGCCAGGAGGGAAATCCAAGCAGAGATACAGGGAGAAAGAAGGCGGAGCCTGGGAGAAGCCATCCAGCCGCCAAAGGAGAAAGATGTCCGTATACAGGTGAATAGAAATGCGTTAATTTAAGTTGTAAGAGCTAGTTAGTAAAAGCTAACAGACCAGTTTGTAGTTAGTACTAAGCCTAAGAACGATTATTTGGGAACTGGCAAGCAGGAGAGAAACCTCCAGTTACACAGTCCTCAGAATCACAAGCTTAAGAGCTCTCCCAGAACCCCTTGGCCTAAGGATGCTTCCAAAGAATGCAGGTCTTGCTGGGTGGTGGAGGCACACACTTTTAATCCTAGCACTTGGGAGGTAGGAGCAGGCAGATCTGTGAGTTCAAGACCATCCTGGTCTACAGAGCTACACAGAGAAACCCTGTCTCGAAAAACACACAAAAAAAGAATGCAGGTATTTTTCTCTGACTTTTAGTGCAGGCCTGGATCTCCCTGGAGAACAGGACTGGGCTGTGGAAGTAACAGTTATATCAACTTTTTGGGGTTCACCTCACCAGGCCAAGGGGAGTGATGCCACCCCACATCTGCTTGCATGCCTCACTTCCCATCCTTAGATGGAGGGTTCTCTGAGGAAGAAGTCACACACATGAACTTCTCATCCATAGATGGAGGGTTCTCTGAGGAAGAAGTCACACACATGAACTGTCCTTTCCTTGTCTGCACTTGTCAGGAACGGGGCAAAGACTTCCAAATCTAACTGCAGGGTAGGGTAGGAGGGAGGCGCTGCAGTCTGCATCAGCAGCACAGGCCGGGAATGAAGCAGCACCTGGGGATCCACCTGCCCCCCCCACTTCCAGCTGCTTGTCTCAACCCCCTAAGGTACATTTACTTTTGTGATCCTGAAGCAAAGCAACATTCAAAAGTGACCTAAGCCAGGAGAGGCTGTGCACACCTAGACCAGCTACTTTCATTCCTGTGACGGAAGGATCTCAAGTCAGAGGCCAGTGTGGACAGCTTAGCAAGATGCTGTCTCAGAGTGAAGAGGCCCAGTGTAGTTCCATCCCCGGCACTACAGGCCCATGTAGATATGTGTACACACACACACACACACACACACACACACACACACACAGGCACACATGCACTCACACATGAACACACATGCACACATGCATGCATACACACATACACTCATGTGTGCACACATGAACACATGCACATACATACACACACACATTTTTGTCACTTATTGAGGAAGAATGCTTTCTTTTGAGAACAGTCATTCAAATCCCAATAGGAGGAACAGGGTTGACTGTTAACCTACCCCTTACCTGCTGTTACCAGGAGAAAATCCCATACATATACATTAACATACAAATAAATAAATGCAAAAGTTTTGTATAGTGCATACTTGAAAAAAGTCAACACATTAGTAACATTTCCTCATGTCCCCCCTTCCCACCAAAAAGCAACCTAGATTTAATCTGTCTCTAATCAAAACAATCTTTATCACGGTTGAAAACACACAGGATCGCTGCCTCTCAGACATGTGGCAGTTCATTTTCTCTCACGCTGTCAGGAAACCCAGACTTGCAAATTAAAAATATGCCTGTCAGTTTCTGCCAAGACAATGCAAACAGAAGAGTAAAATTTCCCTGCAGGGGTGAGGCTCTTGGAACCTGAGTGAAGGAGGAATAGACTCTAGACAGCCACTTACTTTTCAAATAACACACAATAGGAGCTGTCTGTCTCTCCCCTACACTGGCTTGGCATCAAGATCAGTTCTATAGCCTACACCTTCCTGGCAGAACTGCCCTGAGGGTTGTAAACCAGAGCTGGCAAGAAAACCGGACAAAACCACCTCACGGTGACCAGGAAACACTGGCTTTTTCTCAGTCACATTCAGAGAACAGGGAAACAGCACCGAGGAAAGTTTTCAAGGGAGAGGACTGTGCTACTGTATGTAGCAGCACAAGACATGATCTGGTCTCTGATGTTTGCTCCCAATGCTCCCCCTAGGATCTCGTTCATATTTCATGTTCTCTGTAAATGGTATTACCAAGAACACCTGGTTAACTGTCTAGGAAACTTGTCACAGAGAAATAACCTGAGTGTTACCTCATGGTCATTCCAGAAACCACAGGAACACAAAGACTCCTACCCAGTGTCCTAATCTAACTAGGGTCCTAGGTTTAAACAGGGCAACTCACCAGTCACTCATGGGCCAGTCACTCATGGATGTGGGTTGATACAACAGATGAAAAGACAGATTACTTCAGACACCCACGCTGTGTACTGACAGGTGGGATTTTATCTGCCCACGCTCTGTCTCAAACCCAGGACGGTGGCTGACTAAGTTGTCCACTAACATGTTAAAGCAAACACTGGCCACCAGGTTCTCCTGGGTCCCTCAGTCTCTACGTGTTATAGGGCCCTCCTGGCTGGCATACCCACCCCCACCTTAAACTTTTCCAGCCCAGGGGTTGGTCTGCCCTTCCCACAGCTGCCCATACCTATATAATCTAGCCATTTTGGTTACCTAGCCCTTTTTGGTCTACCCTTTGCCCTCTTGGTGTCTCTTAGCTCAGGCTACCCCGCTTGGCTCTGCGCTCCTCTCTCCTCACATGGGCCAGCTCCGCCTGGCCATGCTTGCTCTGGACCCCCCCAGATGTCCCTGCCTCTGGTTACGCTCTCCCTTTCATCAACAATAAGCCTTCTCCACCATACCGAGGAGCGGTCAGGCCATTCCTTTTTTATTTTTTTATTTCA